TAGGACTGGGCCCAACACGCTTCCTTTCAGGATACCAGCATTGATTTGGCATATTTCGGATTCGGCCCATTCGCTTCTCAGGTAAAACGACCACCTATGATGCCACATTCGGTCAAAAGCCTGATTTATAGCGAGAAAGGCCGCTGAACAGTATTTGTTGGCTTCAAAGGAATTTAAGTTTGTTTGTTTTATCCTGTGACTCTGCTCTGGGGCTCCATGTTGGCTCCTAAAGCCAAATTGGGAATCAGGTATCATGTTCCCGTCCTCCAGCAGTGGCACTAGTCTGCCCAAACATAATCTTTCGAATACTTTTGGCAGTATTGCCAACAAGCTGATGGGACGGTAGGAGACAGGTTCTTGCTCAGGCTTCCCAGGTTTATGTATCATTATAATTTCCGCACACTTCCATTGTGAGGGAAAGAGGTGGATCCTAATGATGCCATTGTTGATGGCCGTAAGGAAAACAAGAGCACGTGGAGGAAGGAGCTTGATGGTGGCTGCGTCGATGCCGTCGTAGCTGTTTTTAAATTGGACACAAAATTTTCGGCTTCTTCTGCTAGTATAGGCCGTATCGGCAAGTCCATTTGCCAAGTAGCATCTAAAAAATAGCTATGTGGCTGTTACATCCGAGGCAGAACATATGTTGAAGGGTGTAAAAATTCTCTCCAGATGAAGTGCAAAACTCTGGGCTCTCTCCTCGTTGGAGCGACACCAGGAGCCAGATGCGTTGAGAATGGATGCAATCCTTTTAGTTGGTCTCTTGAGGTATCTGGTGGCGTTCCACAGGTTGTGCTCTAGCCTATTAGGTTCAACAGGCTGAGATAGTCAGACAGTGCCTCGTTACGCAGTTCCAGTAGGAGAGTCTTCAGGTCTTTGCATGCACGGTTAAGGTCTGCCTTGTCGCGAGGATTTCGACTAAGCTGCCATATTCTGCGAAGACGACGCTTAGCTCTCAGTTGCTCGGTGACTTGCTCTGAGTGCAGATATCGGTTTCTGTCCGCTCTCTGGGTGTGTGCAGCGTCATGTATTCTGCGTGTGAGAGTTTCAATAGCTTCCTCGTTATCCTCACCAGAGTCTAGATTGATGGTGGGATCCAATGTCTCCCCCAGTCTTGCCCTGAACCTGTTAACATTTGAGCTCCTAGTTAACAGCTTGGTGATTCGCTTGCTGATACTTATATGTATATTAATTCTTAGCACTACTGCGCAGTGATCAGATAATAGATCAAAGTCATTCTCCACTTGCACTTGATTTGAGTTCACACCATGGGTGATCGCAAAGTCGAGAAGGTCGGGCACCTTCCGAATATCCGTGGGCCAGTAGGTAGGATGTCCGGACGAAAGAGTGGTGAAATGCTTAGCTTGGATGCAGGATAGCAGGGAAATTCCCTTCGGTTTGCATAGCCTGGAACCCAACCAGGTTTTTTTTGAATTGAAGTCACCCCCAAATCTGTGCCCGAGATAATTAAAAATTTGGGTAAACATTTGTGCTGTTACTTGGTATCTGGGTGGTACATAGGCCGCTGCAAGTGTCAATCTTCCAGTTGGCGTGTCGATTGTTGCCCGGCTGTTTCAACCAGGGCTCCAGGACAGGAGTGCGCACAGCAAATTGAATCCTTGCTTTGATAAGAATGGCTGCACCGCCTCGAGCATTGCCATTCGGGTGGTTTTTGTGAAAATAAGGCTATATCTGTTTATTTAAATATTTAGAGATGAGCATACTATCTATATTGTTTCTCTTAAGGTACATATCAACCTCAGGCCTACTTTTGCATAGGCCGTTCGCATTCCATAATCTGGGCAAATGGTGTCTGCATTAATTTCATCATGGCCTGTATTTGGGCGATCAAAGGTTGATCTGGTGCGTATTTCACTTCGCTGAAAGTTGGGTTGGGGTGGGATCAACCTCCTGCTACATTGGCATTGCTAGCGTTACCATTCCTTACTTTTGAAGGGGTATTAATGGGCAATGTGTTTGTGAAGGTGGGTCTGACATCCTTCCTGCTTGGCGTAAGCCTCGGTTTATCATGATCCCGTTGTTGCACAGTGGCTCTGTAAACTGTGCATCCCTTGTAGGAAGCAGTATGGCTGTCTCCACAATGGACGCATGAGACGGGAGCATCTCGACGTTTCGTGCAATTAGTGGATTTGTGATTACCACTGCATTTCACGCATCGATACGACTTTCGGCAATCATTTTCTTTTTTTTTAGCAGAGGAGAAAGCTTTTTGCGTTTGGGTGTCAATCGCTTGGATGTTTTTTGCCATGTCACGCTGGCAAGGGCGCTTCCGTGGACCCCGTCTCCATCGTTCACCTGGTGGCGTGACACCACACAATTTTTTAAGAGAAAAATCCATAATTTTAAATAAACAAATATGTATATATATTTTTTTTTTGTTCGTTCTGTTGATCAAGAATGATATGATTTGTTTAGGTGTTAACCAAAAATGTCACTATATCCTGCACATAGTTTATTTAATAGTTTATGAAATTGTTGGGGAAAATTCTTATTCCGGGTTAAGAATATTATATTTACTTAGGGGGTCAGAGGAAATATTTCATTAGTATGTGTGGTGTTTAATAGTCGGTTGTAATTGTTTGTCGAATCTGTAATATATTCTCCAATTAATATACCATTTTTTTGCTCCCTTACACCCTATAAGTTAGTCGTGAAATATGTAACACAAAGAAGGAGACATCGTCGACCCTACTGAGTATATATATTTTTGATCAATATGAACAGCCGAGTCCTTCTATCCGTCTGGCTGTTTAAATGCGATCTAGTCTCTCAGTTTTAAAGCTATCGTCATGAAACTTTGCAGGAGTGCCGCATTCTATTGAACGCAGTACATATGTCGGACTCAGCTGGATCGGACCACTATATCATATAGCTGCCATAGGAACGATCGGTCGAAAAGTGAACAACTTTTTTGTTTATAAAGATATCTTGATCTCATATATATGCAAAATCATATCAACATCGGAACACTATATTAAATAGCTGCCATAGGAACGATCGGCCGAAAACTAAGTTGTTGTATGGAAACCTTTTTTGTTTTTCAAGATATCTTGACCAAACTCGGCATTTTTAAGTTTCACTATGCTCCTTACATTTATGCAAAATCTTATTTACATCGGACCACTATATCATATACCTTCCATGGGAACAATTGGTCGAAAATTTAGTTGTGTGAATAACTTTTCTTTTCAAGATATCTTAACCATATTCGGCAGTAACTAGTTTCCCTGTGCTTCTTAGATACGGTCAAAGCACTATGAGCATTATGGAAAGGTTGGCACTGTAAGGGTATTAAATCTTCGACGTGCCAAGGATAGCCCTTCTTTCTCGATTATTTCTTGATTGGGTATGAAAACTTGTTGTTCAGATGATTTTATCTTAATTTGTCTAATAATTTCTGAACTGGCTGGGGGTAGAGTGGAATTGGTTCCGCACGCATGCGTGATTGCTATATGGATATTGTTTTGAATATTTTTGGATCTGACTATTATCCAATTTTGAGGTGTTTATAAATCTAGCAGGCAGTTGTACTTCGTACGGAAATCCATTCCGATTATTTTATCACATGGCATTGAAAATTTGTCGTGCACTATATAAAAAATTATGAGATAAACTGTATATATCTGATTTACTCAGATAAAGAATATTTTTTTTTGTTTATTCATTAGCAAACTTTCGTATGATCCTTTGATCGACTCTATAGATTCTCGTGCTTTCCTTCGAATTCCGGAATTAGCCTTGAGTTTTTATCTAGAAAATCGACAGGGGATTCGGCCATGTTTACAATTGGTATTATGCTACTTGATTCTGCTTATTCGTCCTCCGTCGGCTGTACCAGGAGTGACGGTTCAAACGTTACCGGTGTTTTATTACCGATGGTAAAGTAGCTGTAGATTGTATTTTTCGATTAAATTTATCAGATTATTCCTCAGACGTTGTTAAGTATCTGTAGTTTGCACTTTGTGTGAACTTAATAGTTTATGTTGACTGTTGACTAACCATTTTAATGATTTTATTGTTCTCATATACAAGTATCTCAATGGGTTTGATTATAGTTGGTCTTAAAACTGGTGCGCTTTTATTAAGGAATTTGTATTACTTTTCAAAGTTGGATTTATTCGGCTTTAATTTGTCAACTATTTATCGCCATTCTATGGGGAACTTTCCCCAGTTGGAAATTGGTTGTCATAGACTCGTGTTTAGACCTAATCTAGGTCGTAAGCCCGACTCATGTAACGCTTTCTCAGTGACTTTTTGTGAAGAAGGTATATCTTCAGAAGAAGGTCTACTGTGGTTATTACTATTAGTATAACTAGCAACAAGTGGTGGTGGTGGGGTGTGGTGTCTACAACGTCTACTACATTATTTTTTAGTTCATTCAATCAGTTTGTATTGAAAAAAAATTGTTGAAACGGTAAGGTTTAAGATTGATCTCAATTAAAATTATTTATGTGATAATCATTGTTGGGCTAACAAGCTTTTTTGTTAGCACTTAATCGCGAGAAGTTATGGTGTTATAAAAATACAGCCTTTTCTTATAAATTCATACAACAGTTTTATTTTATTTATATGCTTATAACGAGCGTAATTAAGTAATGCGAAATGTGCAAATTTTAACGAAGCGATCGATAAGAAATCCGATATAGCGAACATACGAGACAAGAGTGAGTTGCGGCGTCGCTAGCATTGATGAGCTAGCCGCTTAAGACAAAAGTGCAAAGGTAAAAGAGCGCGATAAAAGAAATGACGATGAGCGTAAAGCGAGAAGTGCTAGATAGTTAACAGCTAATAATGTTGAGCTATTTTATGATATGCGAGAAGCGACAAAAAATCAAAATAGTTACATTGCTTGCCTCGCAGGGCAAGATGTAACTGAAATGTTATGCAAACATAATTCTAAATTAATTTTTAGCTGCTGACCTGAACGATTGAGCTTCAACAGGATCGTTACGGGGAAGCAGACACAGCTTATTAGTTGCTCGCTATATGATTCCATTAGCAGTCTTGAGAACTGCAACGCGTGTGATGTCATCAGTTCCTTTTACCAATTCAACCACTCTAGCTAGCGGCCATTTCAAAGGAGGTAAGTTCTCGTCTTTGACAAAAACGATGTCGTTGAGAGCCACACCAGGCTTGGGAGTCTGCCATTTGGAACGCTGTTGAAGAAGATTTAAATATTCTTCTCGGCAGTGAGACCAAAAGACTTGGTGCATGTAGGATACTCGCTGCCAGCTATCCAGACGATTGAAATTGAGCCGTGTCACATCGGGTTCTGTGAACGTGGATTGTGGGCCTCCAACCAAAAAATGAGCTGGGGTAAGAACATCAAGGTCTTCTGGATCTTCTGAAATGGGTAGCAGTGGTCTAGAATTAATGACTGCCGTTATGTGGCACACAAGGGTACGAAGCTCTTCGAATCCCAGAACAGTTAACCCCACAACCCGATAGAAGTGATTTGCAGTTTTTACTGCCGCCTCCCAAAGGCCACTAAAGTGAGGGGAGCGCGGTGGAATGAAGCGCCAATCAATTGTGTCCGGCAAACAAAATTGGAGCACAGCCTCTTGATGACAGCAACTGAGGAAGAGATTTTTGAGCACTACCAACTCGTTTTTGGCGCCGACAAAGTTGGTAGCATTGTCAGACCAATTCTGACGTGGCTTGCCACGAGTGCATATAAAGCGCTTAAGAGCATTGAGAAATGCACACGTAGATAGATCCTTGACCAACTCCAAATGAATGGCTTTCGTGGCGAAGCAAATAAATACGCTGATGTAGCATTTTATAGGAGCTTTGTTTCGGATGACAGGCTTGTAGTAGAATGGTCCGCAGAAGTCCACACCAGTTATATCGAACGCTCGAGTTTCAACAAATCGCTCCATTGGAAGATTAGCCATTACGTGCTCCATCAAGCGGGGCTTGTTTCGGTTTCAACTGATGCATTTGTTTACTATGCTGGAAACTGTTTTACGACCACCAATCGGCCAATACTGCAGACGAATGGCTCCCAACAAGGCTCGAGGTCCAGCATGGAGATTCCGCTCATGAAAGTGAGTGACAATGGCGATGGTAACTGGATGTTGTCTGGGCAGTATAATAGGATGACGGGCCTCATAAGGAAGGTTTGACTTTTCGAGGCGCCCACCAACTCGAAGAATACCAAATTCATCCTGAAAGGGCAATAATGATGAGAGTATGCTGGAAGAAGCGACCTCGCCCTTTGATTGCACGTTCTTTATATCATCCCATAGAGAACCCTTTTGAACGTTTCGTAAAAGTATAAACGATCCAAAACGTATGTCGGAGATCAAAAGTCCGGGGCGCCGAATACGTAGGATAAACTTGTACACATAGGCATTGCACCTTAATATGGCATCATCTGCAGGATCTGTGTTGAGCAGCACTCTTTTGCGTAGCTCCAGTATTGTTTTTTCAAGAAGACAAGACGCAGGCCAGTCCAAAGATCACATGACCAAAGTTTTGACTCTATAAGCTCGTTGGGAGTGGCCCCTCTGGAGAGAATGTCAGCTGGATTACTGGCTGTTGGAACATAATGCCACTGGATGCCCGCTGTGAGTTCCTGGATGGTGGCTATCCGATTTGCAACAAATACGTTGAACTTCGACGAGTCATCTCGGATCCATGATAGACATAGATGAATCAGACCAACAATGGAACGTACCGGTAAATAGTTTCATTTCAGATACTTCCTGCATCAATTGGGCTAACAGAAGTGAGCCACAAAGCTCAAGTTTTGGTACCGTAAGAGTTTTAAGTGGAACCACTCGTGATTTAGACGTGAACTCGAATGATGCCCGTTTGAAACCACATAAATGCAAGCTCCGTACGCAGTAATGCTGGCGTCACAGAAACCGTGACAGATCCATGATAGACGAATCAGACCAACAATGGTATGTACCGGTAAACAGTTTAATTTCAGATACTTCCTGCATCAATTGGGCTAACAGAAGTGCGCCACAAAGCTTGAGTTTTGGTACCGTAAAAGTGTTAAGTGGAGCCACTCGTGATTTAGAGCAAAAAAGACGTGAACTCGAATGATGTCCCTTTGAAACCACATAAATGCAAGCTCCGTACGCAGTAATGCTGGCGTCACAGAAACCGTGAACCTCTACATCGCACATTGGATTGCAGACTAACCGGGGGAAGGTGGATAATTTGACATTGCTGAGAGTTTGGCAAAGTTCTTGCCAGGCAGTATTTAGAGAAGTTGAAAGACTCTCATCCCACTCCAAGTTTTCCTTCCAAAGAAGCTGCATAAATATCTTGGCCCTAACGATGACTGGTCCAATTAATCCTAGTGGATCGTAAAAACGAGCTATAGTGAACAGAATAGATCTCTTGCAAGGTTTAAGGGTCTGACTGGCAGGCGTGAGGGAAAACATTAATTTATCTGTTGAAGGATCCCAAGTAAGGCCCAAAGTTTTGGTAACGTCGCTTCCATCACTAAATTTTAAAAACGAGTCCTTATCCTTGTCAGGATCGTCTTTTAGCACTGCAGAGTGACTCGAGCACCATTTTCTGAGTTCAAAACAACCTTTAGAGAGGATGCCCTTTGTTTGATTTAAAACGTCGATCGCCTCTTGGACCGAGGCACCGCCAGATATAAGGTCATCTACATAGAAATCTCGGCGAAGAATTTTGGCACCAATTGGAAATGAATGTTGCTCGTCAACTGCCAATTGCTGCATTGCTCGAACTGCAAGAAAGGAGGCTGGTTTCGAGCCATACGTACTGTGTCCAACTTAAAGACAATTATTTCAGAATCAGTAGAATTTCGCCACAAGAAGCATTGTAGGTAGTTATCTGGGACCGTAACTCTGACACAGCGATACATCTTCAGTAAGGGCAACAGGAAACGTACGAAATCGCATCCAAATCTTAAACAGCTTTGGTTGTATGACGGGCCCAACACTTCATTCAGCGAACATCCAGTGCTGGTGACAGCTGAACAATCAAAGACGACACGAAGTTTGGTGCTCGTGCTTTGATCCTTCAGCACGCAATGATGAGGAAAAAAATATTTGCATAGACGTAACGACTCCGGAGGGACAAGAGTCATATGGCCGAGCTCCAACTCTTGCATGAACGCGCAATACTTAGATTTAAGGTTGGGATGACGGTGCAACTTTCTCTCAAGCGATATAAACCTGCGAATGCGTGTTGATAAGATTCACCTAATTGATCCAGACTGAGTTTGAGAGGGAGTCGCACGGAATATGCTCCTGTTGGCAATCTTTGGAAATTCTTAACAAAATGCTCCTCGCAGTCAAGCTCTTCCTTTGTTGCTTTAGCAACAGGCTCTGGAAAACTTTCCACTACCCAAAATCGTTGAATTAACTCATCTGTTCGGCCATCAGACTCAGTTCGGGCATCAGACGATACACGATTGGCCAAAAGAGAGGTACCGTCTTGCTGGGAACCGCCACCTGCAACTATCCATCCAAGCCGCGTCTTCTGCAGAAGAGGCGATCCCGGTAGCAGTTTTATTTGCCCGACATACATTAGCTCGTAGAAAAGACCAGCTCTGATTAATAGGTCAACTCGCTGCGGCTTGTAAAAGCAAAGATCAGCGAGGCGAATATTTCCTGGCACATTCCACTTAGTTGTATTAAGGGCAATACTTGGCTGGCGATCTGCTATAGTGGAAGCTACGATGGCTATGATGATTGCAGAGTAATCTGAAGTTTGAGATTGTAGATTGACGGTCACAGTGCATCCGTCAGTAGCGAAAGGAGAGTTTCCCAGGCCAGAACTGCCGCTGAAGATGGACTTTTCTTCAACTGAAGCTGTTGAGCGAATCGGGACGTAATTAAATGCAGCTGTGACCCACCATCCAACACAGCGCGACACGGAACTAGAGTCCCAGACCGATTTTTGACTAGTATAATAGCAGTGGCGAGGAACACTCTGCTGAGGTTGTGGGCAACAAGAGAGGGGACTGAAGAAGCTGCAGTAGGAGTGACAGAGTGAGGAATCGAAGGCAAAACGTCTAAATGCAGCAATGTATGGTGATTGGAGCCACATGTGCGACAAGTTCCGCAATTGCATGTTCGTAAAAGATGTCCCCTTTTAAGGCAGTTGAGGCATAAAGATAATTGTTTTGCTTCCTTGAGACGCATCTCTGAAGACAAATTGTCAAATCTTGGGCATTGCCATATATTATGCTCTTTACCATTACAAAATACGCAAACAGTGGCCATTGAGTTAGGAACAACGAGTGATGTCCTACTGGTCTTTATGCTCTTGCCCACCTGTGAGCTCGGCGTATAGGTTGCCATAGCATAATCCACACTCTCTAGGGCTCTGCAGCGTTGCTCCAAAAATGTGGCAATTTGTGCCCATGACGGAAATAAATTTGCAAAGGCGGGATCCTCCAGCTTCTCTTCCCACTTCGCCTGCGTAACAGGATCCAGTTTTTGCAGTAGCACCTGAACAATGATGCCACCAGCAATTTGCTCCTTGCTACCCAAACTGGTGAGAGAACGAATATGGGCATTAAACTTATCCGATTCACGCAGCATGCCAGCGGAGCCATTCTCTACCTTCTTAAGCCTCAGCAGTTCAACGATGTGTGCCTGAAATACTAATAGAAGGTTATCAAATCGCTAATGCTAATTAGCCTCCGATATTTTCAATGATCGAATGGTATCCAGCTCAGAGTCCTTCAAGCAGAGCCGTAAATGCTGCATTTTTTCAATGTTTGTGAGTTCGGGATGATTTTCGATTACAGTTGTGAACATTGAAAAGAAATCTGCCTACTCCGTATAACCTCCAGAAAACGTGGGCAATTTGATTGGCGGTAAGGTCGGCCATGCTCTGGATCTAGTCATTGACGCAGCAGCAATAGGTTCATTTACAAATGTGGAGCTGGACGGCAATGCTCTATTGCGCTTAGCGATTTTAAGCCGCACCGAAGTCTCCAAAGTTATTGCAAGCTCATCAAAAGCCTCGCGTAGCTCACTGCCGATTTCGTCAAAGTCTAGTTCTTCCAATTTGTTTTGAGCGTCTTCAAATGCAGATTCCATTTTTTCAATCCGTTTGAGCAGCACCGACAATGCAATTTCATCAGTATTGGCAAGGGGCGTTTGGTTGAGGCTACGAGGAAGCCACCTTGCGCTTTAAAATGACATCCTGTGTGTAGGCAATTTAGCACTAGAACTTTCCATGGCAACCGAAGAAACGAAAAAAAACCGAACAAAAACTGCACACGAAAGTTCGTTGACAGTTGACTTATTTTCAGCATTCTTAAGCGCGCGCAACAGTTAGGCGAATAAAAGCACAAGCAGGATGCAGAAAGCAGAAAGCGAGAGCCAACGCGTCTGTGTGTATGTGTATATATGCTTAGGTGCACAGACTGCGCTTTACTGCAATTTACCGCACGACACTTGCTTGTACATATGTATGTATGTATGTAAGAGCGGTTTTTAAATGCTGCCGAAACTAATAACAGCCAGCTCAATTTTAATTTGAATAATTTTATGCAACAATACAATGTAAAAAGATCACGTCGGGCTCACCAAAATGCTGGGCTAAAAAGCTTTTTTATTAGCACTTAATCGCGAGAAGTTATGGTGTTTTATTTAATTTATATGCTTATAACGAGCGTAATTAAGTAATGCGAAATGTGCAAATTTTAACGGAGCGATCGATAAGAAATCCGATATAGCGAACATACGAGACAAGAGTGAGTTGCGGCGTCGCTAGCATTGATGCGCTAGCCGCTTAAGACAAAAGTGCAAAGGTAAAAGAGCGCAATAAAAGAAATGGCGATGAGCGTAAAGCGAGACCCGAACAATCAATTTTTTTTATTTAATTCAGACAAATTTTAGAGGTTTCAGAATTTTATAACCTTACTTTACGTTTATTTTAAATAAAA